CGAGAACCACGCTCGAGGAACGGGGGCCCTCCACTCCTGGACCAAACCTCCGCAGGGCTGGCAAGCCAGGATCACTGGCGGCCCAGGGAGCGAGCCTCGTACGCTTTCCCAGACAGTCCAAGCCCTGGTGAAGGAGTGGTCAGGGTACTGGGGAGTAGGGGCCCCCACGCCGCTGGGGAGTGAGCTCGCACTGGAGCCGCTCGAGTGGCCACGCGATCTCGGTGAGCGACCTGCCCGACCGACGGTGAGCGAGATCAGGGAGGTCATCGCCACTTTCAGGGACTCCAGCGGCTCATCGTTCGACGCGCTGCGGCCGCACGAGCTGGGCGTGCTCGACGACGCTGGGATCGAGGCGCTCATCGACCTGCTGGTCGCCATCGAGCTGCAGTGCGACTGGCCCGCGTTCATCACCAAGATGGCCTTCATCCCCAAGTCGGACGGGGGGCTCCGCCCAATTGCGCTACTGGGGGCGGTGGTACGCATACACGGCAGGCTCCGCAGGCGCATCGCGAAGGACTGGGAGGCGGCGCACGACAGAGACTACTGGTGGGCCAGCTCAGGCAAGAGCTGCGACAGGGCTGTGTGGCAGCAGCAGGCGCGGGCTGAATGGGTCCAGATGATGGGCGAGCTGAACAGAGGCCAGGACTGGGCCTCGGCGTCAGTCATGATGGACCTGTGGAAGGCTTTCGAGCAGATCCTGCACGGCAACCTGCAGAAGGCGTGCAGGCAGCACGATTTCCCGCTGTGGCTGGCCAAGCTGCAGATCTCCCTCTATCGGCTTCCCAGGGTCATCAGCCTGGAGTCGTGCTGCTCTGACGAGCTTGTGGTAACACAGACGGTGTTGGCTGGGGATGCATTTGCCACCACGTTCATGAAGGTCATGCTTCTGACGCCGCTCGACGAGATGAAGGCGGCCCGCCCCACGGTGGTACCTGCGGTCGTGGTCGACGACGTGGTGCTGCAGCGCTGGGGTGGCCTGCAGCGAGTGGCCAAGGACCTCACCATGGCCACGAAGGCAGTGGCGAAGGGGTTGGCGAAGGTTCACCTGTCCATTGCCGCCGAGAAGTCGCGCGTGCTGGCCAGCAGCAGAGGCCTTAGGGCCACTCTCCAGAGGCACCTGGGCTCGACCACTGGGGCCATCGGTGTCAGAGAAGTGCGCAACCTCGGCATCGACTACACTGAGGGCGGCAGGCGGTCCAGCGTCGTCAGGCGGCACCGCACCACGCAGAACAGACTCCGCCTTCCTCGGATCCGACGGCTCCTGGGTCTACGCAGAGGAAGGGCCGCAGCGGCTAAGATCGTATCGACTGGGCTGGCTCCCAGTCTCTTCTACGGGATCAACTGCACGGGGCTCAGCAATACGGAGCTGCAGCAGGCGCGTAGCATTGTGCGGCGCGCCATTGAGCCGAATCCCCACGGGAAGTCGCTCACGGCGTGCTTGCTGGTGGGGGGCTCTCCCACCATCGACCCTCTCTTTACAGCTACGCTGGCGCCCTGCTTCACGCTGGCGCGCGCTGTGTGGGAGAAGTGGGTGCCGCTGGCGCAGCTCATGCCCGCTTTCGAGTGGGCAGCGAGGTCAACTACTTGCTGGGCAGACGTACGCGGGCCGCTTGGCGCAGTGGTCATGTCCCTCAGGAGGATCGGCTACGACCCCAGGGCGCTCGATTGCATCGTCAGGCCGAATGGTACGATCATCAACCTACTGGAGGTCTCCCCGTGGTACGCCAAGCAGTGCATCACGATGGACGTGAAGGCGTGGCAGATGAAGCTCTTGGCAGACGGCACGCACGCCGATGTTCGCAGTGGCATCTTCGTCTCGCAGATGCGGCGGTGGTTTGCCAAGGGTGTTGGAAGCTCCAGCCTGGCCAAAGGCTGGGGGCCTCTCAACTGCAGCCAGCGAGGATACGCGCGCTCGGTCTTCGTCCTCGGGCAGTGGCCGAACAGCAGGAGGTACCACGGTGCTCCGCGGCTCTCGCATACGCCGTATTGCCAGCTGCACCCAGAGCAGCCTGGCACTCTCTGGCACAGGCACACCGCCTGCCAGGACAGCTGGCCGAGTTTGACGCTGCCAGCCGAGATCAGCAAGCTCGTCCCCTTCAGCACCAGCGTGACCATCACTACGCTCCTGGAGAGGCTGGTCCTGCCCGAGCCCCTACACGAGTGGCGCCCGCCTGGAGACGACCTCCTCGCGCACGTGCAGTGGCTCAAGGGCGGCGACGGTTTCCCGTTTTCCAACACCACGGTCTACTCCGACGGAGCGGTCTACGACGCTGGGACATCGCTGGCGGTGGGGGCTTGCGGAATGGTGCAGCTGCCCGACGGCGGTGACGACTGTGACCCTGGACCTGAGTCGGCCGTTAAGGCGCTAGGCACTCCCTTGCCTGGGCCGTTGCAGTCCATCGACGGGGCCGAGCTCTTGGGGTGTCTGGTGCTCCTCCGCCACAGCCTGCCCCCGATCGCCGCGGCCTTCGACGCCACGTATGTGACAAAAGGCTTGACGGAGAGGGGCGAAGCCAGCACCACCAAGGCGACTTCTGCCTGGGGGTGCATCTGGAGGCGAGTCTGGGCGGCGCTTGACGACTTCGGCGGCATTGGGCCCCAGGGGCTCACGATTCAGAAGGTGAAGGCGCATGCCTCTGCGGCCATGGTTCAGAAAGGAGACATCACGGCCCGCGACAGGCGTGGCAACTGGGAGGCCGACCGTGCTGCAAAGGCAGTCGCTGCCGCAGTGAGGGCACCACTCGAGCTGCGTAAAGCCTGGCAACGGCGGTCTCTCACGCTGGATGGGGTCGTGCACTGGGTCGCGCGCGCTGGGTGTGAGGCGGCTGACCTGAAGCTGGACATCGACCCGAACTGCAAGCCTTTTCACAGAGGGCCGCCTCTCAGCGTCACCAGGCACGACGTGGTCAAGGTGGCTGGCGATGGTGTGCACTGCAGGGCCTGCCTCAAGACGGCCTACACCGACCTCAGCATCAAGAGGCTGCTCAAGGACCCATGCGTTGGCAAGCCGTTCGCGCCCGTGGCAAGCGGCGCGAGGCGCAAGCCAGCTGCTTCGGCCCTGGCGTCTGCAGGCGCGGTGGCGGTGGCGCTGGCAGCGGCGCACAGGCTTGAGCAGGAGGCCCAGAGCACGCAGGACGACGAGATTGTGGTGTCCTCCGAGCCAGAGGCCCAGCAGATGGCGCCGAGCCCCGTCGCTGCCGCTCGGGAGCCTCCAGCTGAGGCAGCAGCGGCAGGCGGGGGCAGCAGCAGTAGCAGCGGCCAGGACCTCTCGCCTGGCGCCGCCCTCATGCACGCAGTGGGCGCCGCCCGCGCCGCGCGCGAGCAGCCAGCAGAGGCGTCAGCGGCTGGCGGGGGCAGCAGCAGCAGCAGCAGCGGCCAGGACCTCTCGCCTGGAGCTGCTCTCATGCGCGCGGTGGCAGCCGCCCGCGCAGCTCGCGAGGCTCAGGGCGCCCTGCGCGCGGGCCCCGCTGGCGGCCGGGCGGGCGCGGGCCCCGCGGTCGCCCAGGACGCCATGGAGGTGGGCGAGCCTGGGGGATCAGGCGCCCAGGAAGCCGAAGGAGTGGGCCATGCGCTCCTCAGCATCAACGGCTTCAGGATCTGCACGCGCTGCAAGGCGTGCGCCGAGGAGATCAATGGCAAGCACAGGACGCTCGGCAAGACGCGCGTCGCAGCCTCAGGCAATGCGCTGCGCCTGCGCAACCTGAAGGTCGCTAACATCAGGGCGGGCTTGGACCCAAAGACGGGCAAGCGCCTAAGTGATTGAGTTGGGGAGTGCCTTCGGTGGTCTGAGCCTGTTCGGGCTCGGCACGGGGTGGATGGTGGCTCGTGCGGCTGCCTCACCTGACGGCGCATGCCCATGCAGCGCGGCGTGCGCGCTGCTTTCGGAGGCCGCTGTTTGCGGGCCTCTTCGCCGCATTTTGCGGCTCGCCATTTTGGCGGCAGGATCGGTTCGTGCTGCACGGGCTGCCTTGTCATTAAAAAAAAAATGGCTCCAATCCGCAATATTTTATGTACGTCTGTTCCCATAGATCGGGCTTCTCCTGGGGCACGAATCCTCCCTAGGAGGTCCCAGGAGGCTCCAGGAGGCTCCAGGAGGCTACGCGAGGCTCCAGGAGGCCTCAGGAGGCCACTCGAAGCCCCAGGAGGCCCCAGGAGGCTCCTGGAGTCCTGGAGGCTCCTTGAGGTCCCAGGAAGCCCCAGGAGGTTTCAGGAGGCCCCAGGAGGCCCCAGGCGCATGCGCAGAGACGCGCTCGTACTACTGAGACTCATTCACACTCCAATTCGTTCGCAGTTAGATTCATGACCAGACTGTCACAACTGAAGCCCGCTTATATTCGAAAACTCTTGCGCCTAGACACTCACGGCGGAGAGATCCGTGCGATTAAATGCACATATGGGGAGCTCCACGCAGTGAATAATTCTCTGACCGCGCCGGACCCCTCATCATCATCCCTCCCCTCCCTCCTCCCTGTCTTCGCTAGACGATGATGATGAGTGTCATGATCATGACCATGGTATGGTGAGAGTATGGTGTCAGTATGATGGTGATGGTGAATGATGGATGCGTATGATTATGCTGATGATTGTGATGATGGTCATGATGATGACGATGATGATGATGATGATGATGATGATGATGATGATGATGATGATGATGGTGATGTTGATGATGATGATGATGCTGATGATGATGATGATGATGATGATGATGACGATGACGATGGCGATGAGCAGATGATGAGGATGTCTCGAGCGGTTTGGGTTTTAGCACTCCTAACGGGGGGCGCCAGGGCGTATCTCACGGCCTCCGTTCGCGCCCACATTGCGGGGATGTCTCAAGCGGTTTGCCTGTTTTAATCGCGAGCATTCTTCGTTTTCGGAGCATGCCTGTTTTCTGACGATCCCGGGGCCCGGCGAGGGCCCCTGGAGGCCGAAAGCGGCGAAAGAACTCCGTCCTGTTTTTTTTTGTTGTTGCTGTTGCGGCGCGACCCTGTCTGGGCTCGTCCCCCCCTCCCCGCCCCAGGCGCCCCGCCAGACTGGGCGGACGGGTAGCCATGCGCGGTGCTGCCGGGCCGGGGGAGGCGGAGCAGGCCCACCAGAAGATGGTGCGCGCGGAGGCCTCGGAGGTCCTCGCAATCCGGGGCACAGCGGAGGAGGGCCTGCGGAGCCTGGGGTGGTCGTTCGCCAGCCTGCCCAAGCAGGCCGGGGCGGCCGTGCGCAGGAGGGGCCCCTCGCCGGCGTGGCCTTCCCGGATCCCCGGCGAGCTTCCCCTGACCTTCCAGGAGGGTTAACAAAATAGCACCAGGACACCGACTTCCTAATTTCTGTCGAGGTGTGAGGCGGTCCAGGTACGTGTGTAGGTCTGGAGTGCTATTTGTAGCCCTCTGGAAGGTCAGGGTCGGTTCGCCTCCCCCCCTGGTGTTGGTGCGCGGCACTTCCCCATGCTTGGCCGCAAAAACACGCTCGTCGCGTCGGGGGGCCCCTGACCCTGTCGGGCTTCGTTCTCGGTTGTGTTTGTGCTTCGGTTCTGGCCTCGAGGGGGTCCGTTGTATGGCCCCAGGGCCATCGCGTATCGCATGTCAGCCAGCCTGAGCCCCAGGCAGTGATTTCTTGTAGTCTATGCGGTGCAATCTGGATGGTGCCACCAGTGTGGTGCAGATTATGCGGTGCAACCCATGTGGTGCAAATCTTTGTGGCGCAGAGCAATGTAACCAATGCAATGCTATGCAAAGCAAATCAACGCAATGCGACGCAATGAAAAGCAGTGCAAGCAAAGACAAAGCACGGCAACGCAATGTAACGCAATGCGCCGCACCTCATCGCAATGCAACGCAATGCAAAGCAATGCAACGCAATGCAAGTCAGCGCCAAGCAACGCAATGCGATTGCAATGCAAGGCAACGCAATGCAAAACAATGCGACGCAATGCAACGCAATGCAAATCAATGCCAAGCAATGCAAATCAATGCAAATCAATACAAGGCGAGGCAAACGAGTTCAAAACAATGCGAAGCACTGCGAAGCAATGCGAAGCAACTCCAAGCAATGCTAAGCAATGTGAAGTAATGCCGAGCAACGCACAGCAATGCAGTCCAATGCAAAACAGTGCAAAGCAATGCAATGCGATGCGAAGCAATTCGACGCAAAGCATTGCAACGTATTGCCAAGCAGCTGCAAAACAATGCGACGCACTGCGATAGCAATGCAAAGCAATGCGATAGCAATGCAATGTAATGCAAAGCAATGCAACGCGATGTAGAGCAATGCGCAGCAATGCAAAGCAACATACAGCAATGCAAATCACTGCGCAGCAATGCACTGCGATTGCAATGCAATGCAATGCGATGCTAAACAATGCACGGCAATGAAAAACAACGCAAAGCAATGAAAAGCAACATACAGCAATTGCCAGCAATACGCAGCAATGCAATGCGATGCAAAGCAGTGCGATGCCAAAAAATGCAACGCAATGCCAAGCAACTGCAAATTAATGTGACGCAGTGAGATTGCAATGCGAAACCATGGAACGCACTGCAAAGCAATGCAACGCGATACACAGCAATGCAATGCAATGTGATAGCAATGCAACGCAATACAGGGTGAATTCCAACACGGGAACGCGGGCTCGTCACGGGAACGCGGGGACCGTCATCAGAACATAGAGGCCGGTCACCAGAACAGGGCGGTACATACGTCAGGAGAACACCGAGTCCTGGTCCGCCGAACTCGGCGCCCTGCAGCTGAACTCGGCGCCCTGGTCGTCCGTCTGCTTCTGCTGCTGCCCGTAGTCCTCCCATCGCTCTTCTCTCCCTTCCCCTCCTGCGACAGGGGGGAGCTTGCTCGTGCCGTCGTCGTCGTCGTCGTCGTCGTCGTCGTCGTCGTCGTCGTCGTCTGCGTCGTAGTTGTCGTCGCCGCCGTTGTCGTCGTCGTCGTCGTCGTCTCAGTCATCCTCAGACTTCAGAGGAAATCGTAGCGGGTGACCGACTGGAGTTAGCCATGTAGGCCGCGATCGCCGCGCGCGGCTGTCTTGGTTGAGTGGTTGCCTGTCGTCGCCCCAGGCGCGTTTGCTGATTGGCGCGCGCGTGGATGGTCACGCGCGCCCCAAGAGATGCTCGCGCGACGAACGACGACAGGCAACAACTCGACCAAAGCTACGAGGGGCGCTTCAACGCACGCGAGGACGCGGACGAGACTCGCCAAACGCACAGGGAGCGACGACAGGCGACCAGTCAACGAAAGCAGCCCGCAAACGCAAGACGTGCGAATGGCCTTGCGAGCAACGAGAGGCAACCACTAAACCAACTTAACCACGAAGCATCGCGTATCGCACACAACGTGGCGGGCGCCACTCATCACGCGCGCATGGAGCGCGTGGCTGTTTTTGTTGAAGGGTTCCCCGTTTTCACACCCTCAGTGAGCGCCCCCCCCACGTGTCCCTAGTCAAGACGCCGTAGTCGTCGTCGTCGTCGTCGTCGTCGCCGCCGTGGCCGTTGTCGTCGTCGTCGTCGTCGTCGTCGTCGCCGTGGCCGTCGCCGTCGCCGTCGTCGTCGTCGTCGTCGTCGTTGTCGTCGTCGTATTGCTCACAGGAAAACGCGGGAGTGGCCAACCCGAGTTTGCCACGCAGGCCGTGGTCGCTCCCATCGGCTGCCTTGGTGGAGCGGTTTGCCTGTCGTCGCCCCGGGCGCGTTTGCTCCTTAGCGCGCGCGCGCGGATGGTCACGCGCGCCCAGGGATATTCGCGCACGGCGAGCGACGACAGGCAACAGCTCAACCCAAACCACCAGGATCACGTCGACGCACGCGACGACGCGGACGCCCCTCACCAAACGCACAGGCAGCAACGACACGCAACCAATCAACGAAGGCGGCCCCGGGGACGGACGACGCGCAAGTGGCCCTGCAAGCAACGACAGGCAACCACCCGAGCAGGAGAACCACGAGGAGTCGCGCAACGTGCGCAATGTCGCGGACGCCGCTCATGAAGCGCACATGGAGCGCGTGGCTGTATTTGTTGAGTGGTTGCCTGTCGTCAACCCCTACGAGCATCCCCCATGTAGTCGTGCGCGATCGTCGTAGCCGCAGTCGCAATGGCAGTCGCACGCCTTGTCGTCGTCGTCTTCTTCGTCGTCGTCGTCGCCGTCGTCGTCTGTGTCGTCGACGTCGTCTTCGTCGTCGCCGTCGTCGTCTTCCCCGGAAACCTCCCAAAGCCCATGGCCCCCATTTTTTCCTTCGTGCCGCGCCCACGCGTGGCGACGAGAGCCTCGCACAGGGAAGCTCAACAGCTTTAAACGTCGTCGACGTCCTCCTCCTGGTCCACAGCAAAGATATATCAAAACCAGTCCCCGCACCCCTCCCAGGTTCCATCCCGGACACTTTTTCTCCCCTGATCCATGTTTTCGCGGTCCCGGAGGGCGACGCGCGATCCAGATTTCGTGAGCTGGGGCCTGGTCCCTGTAGTGCTCCTCGTCTCCTCCTTCTGCCATGCTGCTTTCTCCGCCTTCTCTTTGTCGCCAGCGCGCGTGGCTGTAAGCGTCTGGAAGGTTCGATGATAGTGGGTCATCTTGCAGGTGACGGTGTCTTGGGGGGAAATCGCCCTGCAGCGGGCGACGCGCGCGTGTCACCCGTCACGGCGTGGTTTCCGAGGAGGGGAGGGTTTTGAGGGAGAGTGGAGGGGGGTCGGAGGGAGGGGGAGGTTCTCGGGGGCGAGCCATGTCGTACACACGGGTTCTTTCTTCCACTCTCTGCCCTCTCGTTCCCCCTTTTCCTTCGCTCCCTCCCTGCACCCTGTTCCTGGGCCTCCTCCCCCTCTCGGAAGTCCTCTTCACCATCAACATCACCACGCACATCACACCTGCGACTACCATCGCCTCTCCATCACCATCACCATCACCAGCATGACCACCAGCCCGTGACCATCATCACCACCACCACGACCACCACCATATCAATAATATTCGTACGCAGGCCAACATGGACCCCGAACAGTGGTTCTTGCATAACATGTGGTGCAACCCGCGTGGGCAAAATACGCGAGCCAATTTATCTGGTGCAGTGAATTTTAACAAACGGGTTGACACATCCCATGCTCTTGCAAACATCCCACCCACCCACCCGCAACTTGGTTTGCAAAACCCATGCGGTGGCGCTGGGCGCATCCCAGCGGGCACTGCAGTGCGAGTCGGAGACTTGGGCGGGCGCGGTATCATGGCTTCGCCGACAATGGTAGACACGATGATGATAGTAGCGATGCGGGTGACGATGTTCGCGCCGACGAAGGCGCGGCCAATGCGGGCGCCGATGCTGATCACGCCGACGACGATGACGGGGTCCTCGCGTCGGTGATGAAGGTTTTGGAAAGAGTTCGACATGCGCGCGCGGCCGACGCGCGAGAGGGGCCCGCATAGTTTCATTTGACACGGATCGTGCCCCCCCCAGAACGTGCGCAAAGGCGTGCGAATGATGTCGGCATGCGGCACCAAAAGCCCGTTTAGCAGAATTCCATGAGCATGTTGGAACAACATTTTTTTTGCAAGGATTCGTCGCGAGAGCGCGCGCAATTTTTTTTGAAAACTGATGTTGCGAACCCATGCGTTTTTGCATGTTTTTTGGACATTCGGTTTTGAAAACCTTCGCCACCGAAGGCTTTTGAAGGATTTCCGGCATGCGTGCGCGACGACGCGCGCGCATGCATGTCGTTTTGTTTTTGTTGCAAGGGGTTCTCGCGGCGGCACGCGCGCAGGGGCGTTCGAAACATTTCGACATGTTCGCGCGCGAAGCCCGTTTGGTAGCAATGGATGAAACTTTGAAAATGTATGGTTTTCTTGAACAATTCGCAAGAGCGCGCGCGAGTTTTGTATGTTTTCGGGACGCTCGATTTTGATATCCTTTTCAAACCCAGGGTTTTTTTGAAGGATGTCGGCATGCGCGCGCGACGACTCGCGCGTGTGCAGTTCGAACCTTTTTTTTTTGTTCCAAGGATGGATGACAACTGATATATTTTGATAAACCACAGTGCGCGTATAGTTTTTTATCCAGAGGATGACGGGGGGGTCGAACCCGGCTGGGCTGGGATGTTTTGAGTTTTGATTTCGGATGGACGATTTGGTACAATCGTATGTAAATCGCAACGCAAGAAGGTGTACCCATAAAGCGGGGGGGGGGGATAGAGTGTACTCTCTTGTAATACAAGAGAACCTATGTGGTGTAGGCTACATGGTGTAGT